AGCGAGCTTTCCGTCTGTTATTGTTATTGTTTGTGAAGTTGACGGTAATTTTGAAGTTAGTTTGTTCCTGTTCCGTATTTAAAGCGATACCGAGTGGAACAAAAGTTGTAAGCCGAAGAAAGAGTTTGATACCCGGCCATCCACGGTACAATATCTCCTAGAAATTTCCGAAGAACATTTTTTCAATATTTTTCTGGTACTCCCCAAGTGAGCCTCTATCACCCCGTAAAAGGAATGACGCGAATTTTGAATCACCCTGTGTATGTACAACAACGTGTAGCAAGGGTCTTAACAATAATTGATCACAATTTGTTGCAGAACTAGTCACGATGGACGACCGTGCCAGCAATTCGATACCCCGCTACCAGCACGTGCCAGTTGTGGGGTGCCGCGACCGGTCCGAAACCTACCTCACCTTAGCCTTTGAAGTAGCCCTAATAGGGCTGGGCCAGCAGCGCATGATGCCCGTAGGGCTCTACGCGCAGGAAAAAGCCTGCAAGCAGGAAGATCGCTTGATTGCCCGCCTACAGGAAATCGAGCTGGACAACAGCCTAGTGGCGGTGCTGCGCCGCCAAGCCATCATTCTGTTGGAGGGCGGGCCTTCGAGCGGCCTGGGCATCGGCATCCATCCCGAGTCTATTCCCATGCACACTTTCGCCAGGTTCCTGTTCCTGTCGCTTCTGAACTACTATCCAGACCTGGCCTACGAAGTGGGCCTGAGAGCGATGCGTCTGCCGCTGCTGGAGGAAGGGGATGGGGATGGCGGCCTCCCGGGGGGCTCCAGCGGGGCCGGTTCTCCAGCAGCCAGCCGGCCCCCACGCTGGTTCACTTTGGGGCATATTGAGAGTCAGCAGTGCGCCCTCAGCAGCACCATGCTGAGCGCCGCCAAAGGTATGGAATTGCTTTACGTTACGTGTAGGGTTTTTTGGGGTTTGTAGCTTAATGATTAATAAGAACCTAAAATGAGATTAGATTCCTAAGGGCATGTTTATTTAGTACTTAGGGTGGGTTGTATGTGTTAAGGATGTTCGTTCTATAGCGCTATGATTTTTTTTGTAGGCTTTTGTACAAGCTTCAAACATTGATTTAAATCAGGAATTTTGATATTACCGTTATGCTTTTTGTGTGTACAAATTCGATAAATATCGCTCTCATTTTTTAAGTTTGCTCGGCCTGTTGGTTTTTTTTCTCTAGTGTATTCATCATTTTAACATAATATTAGTGTGAGTTCATTGCACAATTTTCATGTCTACCTTATACACCCTCCAATTGTTAAAGTTTGGAAATGCGTAACGGATTATTTGCCTTACTTAATGATCCTATTTTGAGACATGCAAAATGCAACATTTTTCATCTAGAATTTCCATAAATTTAGCTAAACATTCACAGTACAATCAGGAAAAAAACGTAAAGTGCTCTCAATCCTTTTAAAGTCAGTGTCCAACTACATATATGTAGAAGTTCCAGGTATTAGATTTTCTATATACAGGGTTATTCACGCTATACAGCACGGAATTTTGCGGCTAAACCGTTTGAATTTTAAAAAGTATTATTTTATTAATTGTGCGACGCCTGCCGAGCGCACATTTTAAAAATATTTTTGTAATGTACAGGGTGTCCGAAAAGCTCTAAAGGTATCAGAGTTGCGTTTTTTTGGAATTTCCTCCAGAGGAATGACGCCAATGTTGAATCACCCTGTATATTACGGCATCTCTCCCTATATAAATATAGACCTAAACGCCAAATTTATATTTTTGCCTTTGTCTTAGGCGTCTTAATGACTCGTCACTTAGACGTCTTTCTCACTCGTCAATTAGACGCCTTTATGTCTTGTCATTTAGAGGTTATCAAGCTGTTACTTACTTACGAAAGTTGGAAGTCTATCTTATCAGTCCATGGAATAATATAAGACCCGCATAAAATCTTTGATAATATGGAGGTAATTAAAAAACCTGACAATCACACCCTATAAAATTGTTAAAAACTCCAATTTAAAAAAACTCCCGATCGAAAATTCAGCTCTAATCCTTTACCCACTACAAACCAAGAATTATAAACGTGAAATTGTAAAATCCAATAGGGAAAATTAAATACTTATACATTTTAGAAACACAAAGTTTCAAATTAAAAAGTTGGCAATCACACCCTACTGAATTTTGAAAAATTCCGATTTTTTTAAATTTCCTGACAGAAGCTACGAAAAATATTTAACCCTAAACAGGCCTAGAAAAGTGAAAGTAAAATTGTAAAATGCAATCGATAAAATTGATTACATTTGCATTTTAGGAACAGAAGTTTTAAATTAAAAACTTGGCAATCATACCCTACCAAATTATGAACAATTACAATTTTTTTATGGATGTCCTGTATATTATTGCATTTTTGGATTCGCTGAACAAAATATGAACTTGATTAATTTAAATGCAACCCCATATTTTTTAACTTACCAAGAAATGCGATTTTTAATTACCTATCGAATGGTATTAGGATGTTAATAGCTAAGTTTTTGCCTTTTTACAAAATACGTCAAATAGTCGTTCTGTGCACCATTTTTTTAAGGTTCCAATGTATCTAAGATAGCTATGCCATTTACACATGTCAAATCATTTATTTTATTTCTCAGTTTAGACTGCAAAGTCTCTTTGCTAGTTAGAGTGGTATTGTTTTATGTAATTGGAGACGTGTTGGTCGTTTTTTTAATATTATTATTGTGTTGCTAAGTGAAAATGAAGAAATTATCCACGAGAAGAGCGCATTGACATGGTTTTCACCCTTGGAGAATCTCATAAAAATTGTTTATTGGCTTCTCGAGTTTATGCTCAAAAGTTTCCTGAAATAAATCATCCCAAGCCAACA